AAATATTGTCATCATTATCGCTCCCAAGTTCTACTTGGTATGAACTTTCTCTTGATTTTATGTCGAAAATCTATCTGAATTTCTCGGATGAGCTGACAAATTGTAGGTATCTGGGGAGTCCACGCGACGTGCGATGACGCTAGGCGGACACTCAGGCAGAGCACATCCCTCATTAGCGAAGTTGAGAGACAACATTCTAAATGGGACAATTGACTTCGCTGAAGTTCCCATAGCTGATATGAATCCAGAAGACATACGAGTGAGCTACACTTTCCACTTCTTTCATAGTCCAATCTGGAACAAGTTGGGACCATTAATCTTTGTAGGCTGAACTCAAGCGCGTGTATACCCAATTGCGGATGTACAAACTGAAGAACTTGTACCAGGACAACCCACACATTTCGAAAAAACGTGGTGGGAAAAAGTGGAGTGACAAAACGGGAAAAGTTCGTTTCGTCAAATCTAATGACATTTTCTCGTCAAAGTCAACTTTTCCCATTATAGACGCGTAGAATATCCATGCCAGGAAGCTCTCCGCAAGGTACGAAGCCTCGGATTGAGGAGGACGAGAAGAGCGACCTCACAGTCGAATCCGCTCCTCATAATGTCTACCTTAGCGCATATAAACTTCAGCTGGAGCCGAACCACTCCGTGCGGGTCTAAATCACTTGTACTTTCTTCCGAATCTCAATTTTATTTTATTACATTGTATACTGAGCTTTCTTATATATTGAAGTCATAAAGATTCTATGAATAATGTAAAGAGATTTGCAACTTTGCCAATGAACATCAACATAATGTACGCATTTATCGTCATTGCCTTAAAGTTGGATAATCCAACAGTAAAATATAACTTCCAAACATGCAAACATGTGGCATGAATGCATGTATGTGTTTATTCATTCTCGACGGTTCCTTACAGTATAGAAACCGTGATGATCTACATAAGGCTTCAGTAGTGGAAGACGTACTTCAGAATCTCTAATCAAAGAGGTCCATCACTTCTTCTTGCCAGAAATTGCTTGAACGATTGCAGGTTCGACTGGCTCTGCTGGCTCCTCTATTGAACTTCCGCGTAAGGGTTCCTTAGTGGACCAGCCACGGTTTTTTCTAGAGGTTGTCCTATTCTTCTTTTCTTCGTCGTTGGATGGTCAGAACTTAAAGGCAGTGTCTCCTCAAACTG